CGTTGAGATCCCTGTCTAAGGCAAAGTGGTTTACGAAGCTGGATGTGATTGCGGCATTCCACAAGATTCGCATCAAGGAAGGGGAGGAGTGGAAATCAGCTTTCCGCACCCGATATGGACTTTATGAATGGCTGGTCAACCACTTTGGACTGACTGGCGCGCCAGCCACCTTCCAGCGGTACATCAACAACACTCTACGGGAATTCCTGGATGAGTTTTGCTCAGCCTATATAGACGATGTCCTCATCTACTCGAGCGGCTCTCTTGCCGACCATAGGGAGAAGGTCAGGAAGGTCATGAAGAGGCTTCAGGATGCCGGCCTCCAGGTTGACATCGACAAGTGCGAATTCGAGACCACGACCGTCAAATACCTAGGATTCATCGTGGAGGCTGGCAAGGGGGTTCGGGTTGACCCTACGAAGATTGAGGCCATTGAGTCATGGGAGCGCCCACGGTCTGTCAAGGGAGTTCGCAGTTTCTTGGGATTTGCCAACTACTACCGCGACTTCGTACCTAAGTTCTCGGACATAGCGATGCCCCTAACAGCACTGACGAAGAAGGGCACCCCTTTCATCTGGTCACCCCAGTGCGAGCAGGCTTTTCAGCACCTGAAGGCCCTCCTGATCGGAGCCCCTGTCTTGGCCCAATGGGACCCAGAACGGAAGACAGTGGTTGAGGTGGACTCGTCTGGTTACGCTGTTGGAGGAGCCCTCTCCCAGTACGGAAACGATGGTCTGATATAGTGTTATTACCGGTGAACTCGGCTAGTGCTAACCAATTAACCTAGTTATCCTAGCCTAGTCAATATATAGCTATAAGTACTACTCTAACTTAGCGTTCATCTGCTCTGTCTGACTATTCGTTTACAGGTAGAACGCTGATGACAGCCTTTAGTTTGATACCTACTAACCTTGCTGATAGTGAGCACTAAAGAGTTGAAACAAACTACGTCCTATGGTTAGAAACAATAGCCTTTGGTAAGCTATATCGGCTATAGACTCGTTTAATGAAGCGCTCCGCTATTTTATCTGCTTTTAACAAACTTACCGCAATAAAGTGCTATATCTTAGTACGTCTGCCTATAACTATAGCGATATACTGAAAGGGCTACCCATACTTTATATACGGCGGTAATAGGGTAATATAATCAACCGAGATATCGTACTACGGAGCTAGTAGAATCAGTAACAGCTTTAGGAAGCCCGTTGGCAATGCCTTTACTGCCTTTATCTTATCGTACAATAGGTAAGCTTTATAGTAAGTGCATACCGCTATAGCTAGACCGGGCTACTAATATTAACGTCTTAGTAAGCCTGGAATATGTTTATAGAGCTGAACTATATATACGGTAGCTCTATTGAAGATATATCTCTATATCCTCAGATCGATTATAAGCCAATCATGGAAAAGTACCCTCCTAACTACAATATAGCACTCTGCTATTAGAATATATAAAACCTTTTTTAGCGTTAGTAGCTACTATGGAACGCGTAGGTCGGTTGGGGCTAGTACAATGGAATATAGGAAGGCTGAGCGCCCTTATATCCTAACGATTAATTCATCAACATACCATATAGTGTCCAGCTGAAATAGCTGGAGTTTACTTAGTTCGACGTCTTCTATACCAAAGGTCTCTAAACTGAATTTAGATGGTAGAATTATCGGCTTCTTCCTATCATATTATCAGTTATTGCTATTATCCTTCGGTATATCTTCTAGCTTCCGGCTGAGTATTTCGGTGTATATATTGCCTACGCCGGGTCTATATATAGCATGGAGGGAGATTCTTCTTTGCCTAGACAAAACCGTCAAAAAACCAACACCGTTCGCGACTCTGGAGAAGTCCTATCCAACTGCACCGTTTGCACGCCCGCGCAAACTGTTGCGTAGCCGCAGCGGGGGTGGAAAGTAGAGCGGTTCGAGGTGCCGCAGACCTCGACGAGAAACTTTCGCCGACGTACGGACCAACAAGTCACCCGACCCACCCACAGTTGCCTAGACAACTTCCCTGCTAAGTCCCTGAGCCCCTGAGTTCCTGACCTTGCGCGAGACAGGATGGCCGCTCCCACGCCTCCGACTAACGGGGCAGGAGGAGGACCGGCCCGGTCACGGCACTCAAGCATCCCCCCAATTCCGCCTCAGACCACCCCACCCTCCAACATTAACGCTATCAGAAAGGTGCTTGACGGGCTGGTGGCACTGGTAAGCCCAGGAAAGAAAGGAACTGCTAAAGGCATAGTGCAAGACCTCCTTGCAGCTATTCGCAAATTCTATAACGCCGCCTAATGTCACGGGTGGGACAGGCTGATAGTCCAATGGCAGTTGTATTCGGAATAAGCTACAGTCTAGGCTCTATTCCATCAGGTACGGGCAGGCTTGATTGTCAAGACGTAGCTCAAGGAGCTACGAACAGAACTCGCGGCAGCGAGGTGCAGGATCTTCAACCCGCAGGGGCTCCCACACGCTGGGCCCCACCCTTGGGTCCTGGCAGACACGGCGCAATCGCCGTGACACCCAAAACCAAACAGGAACCATTTCACTTGCCAGCCTCCGCAAGGTGGTAGCCGAAGAACTTAAGGCAGCCGCCACCACAGCCCAGGATAAAAGATCCTAGGCCGCGGTAGCCTCTTAAGAATCTAGCCCCACCTAGGCGCAAGCCGCTACCCCAGTAAAGACAGTACCAGCATATATCAACAAGGAGATTCTTATCAGAGGCAGAGGAATACCGGCCAACCTGGCTATTTGAACTCCACAGGAGACCGTCCAGGCGGTCAACTAAGCGTCGATAAAAAAGGGGGCGATCGCAGCTCGGAAGCTCCCGAGCGGTGATACGATTGTTACTTTTCAATGTACAGCAACTAGAGACTAGCACTCAACCAATATTGGATGGATCAAGGAAGCCTTCGGACAACAAGCTAAGGAGAACAAGAGAACCTTTGCCGTCCTAGTGAAGGGAATTTAGAAGCGAGACCTCTAGGGGACGATCGAGGATGTATTCGGCAGGAAACTGGCCTCCAAATAGTCGACAAGGTCAAATTTAGGGTGCCGAAGCACCAGGGGGCGACCCGGGCGACAGTGCTGGTGGCGCTCACCTCTTAGGAGGAAGCCCGTAAGGCTTATGACGAGGGGGTGGTTTGGAGGGCCCAGCTACTTGACTGCAAGCCGTACTGGCCTGCACTAAGTCCAGTATAGTACTTCAAATGCTAGAAATAGGGTTATACGCAACACCACTGTAGATCGACAGCGCTGTGGTCCCGGTGACGAAGGCCCACGGAGAGGGCTGCAGGGATGGAGAGTCCTATGCCCAACTTACAACAGCGAGATCCCGCTCTAGTGTCCGGTTTGCGGAGGGAGGCACCCGGCCTGGTCGAAAGAATGCCCCGAGAAGTCGAAGGTCCTAGCAAAGGCCAAGGAGGACTACCAGTTCCGACCGCGGACCTACAAAGCAGTCTCAACTATATACCCCAGTATAGGTACTACTACCGCTACCCTCGCCCCACTCAACTTCGATTTCACGAATAGAGAAGACAACGACGACGGCTACCAAGTGGTTAGTAGGAAGAGGATAAGGGGGAGACCGATATATACAGCCGCAGCCCGATACCGGGCTGCCCGGGACCCTCAACAGACTAGGATTAGCTTCAAGCCGGATAGGGTATAGTTTATAAACCTGCCAGAAACCGCTGCTAGCAACACTATACCACCTGATCAAGCTACCGAACTAGTCCTAGAGTCGACGCTGGCCACAGTGTGCTACCTCTACAGCAACTGCTATATCTACACTAGATAGAGAGGATATAGTGATGGACTCTATCGCTATCCGAGAGCATGAGGTGTAAAATCCTACTCTGGAACATCGAAGGGAACAAGTAGGCTTTGGAAGTCCTGCTCGAGGAGGCCAGATACGACCTTCTCGCGGTGCAAGAGCTATAGATCAACAGGCAGATAAAGTCAATATACTACCCCCGGAGCAGCAAAAACCACCTTATGTTCAGATTCGAGGGCCGAGCAGCGATATATGTCAGTAAGCGGTTTGACATCGGCCAGTGGGACTCTGAGGCATCAGAGAACTGGTGCTAGGTGTGGTCTCCTAGGATAGACCTTGGCCAGGGAAGATATACATTTGAGTTATAGTCTATCTACAATCCTCCGAGCAGCAAGGAAGTACCGAGTGCTCTTTCTAGCCGGCTAAAACCGGATTACCCAATAGTTCTAGCGGGGGATTTTAACCTGCAACACCCACTGTAGGACGGTTTCGAGCGTTACGAAAGAAGAGCCGAGGACCTTCTACAGCTGAGTTCCCTCTGGGATCTCGTTATGCAAACACCGAAAGAAGCAGTCACCCGAGCCCACAAGGGCAGCAACTAGGCCATACGTCAACCATTGATCACTTCTGGACTTCGGCAGACCTGCAGATGGTATACTACGGCGAGGGGTGTCGTGGCAGGTCGGACCATTACCTGCAGATGCTTGAAGTAGGAGAAGGGACCAGACCAAGGCCAGCGAAACCGGCTAGGTGGAACTGGAGGAAGATGGATAAGAAGAGGTGAAAGCAGAGTCAGAGCTCCTTTATAAAGCCATCGGCCTTATGGATCCAGGGCCGAACCGTCTAATAGTCAGAATCCAGATAGTCGACGGGGTAAGCAAGGCCTTTGACGATTTAACCGACTAGCTGACCTGGGTCGCGGGCGAGAGTACCCCTCAAAAGAAGGCAAGCTACGATTACAGCTCTCCCTGGTAGACGTAGGAGATGGAACAAGTTACTCGAAAGGCAAAAAGAGCCGAACGACTTGCAAGATAAGCCCATACTAGCTACTACCGAGAGGAGCTTAACGAGCGGCTAAGGGAGCGTGCTAGAGTAATCTAGGAAGCCCGAACGAGGACCTGGAGGAATGGCGTACAGGAGGCAAGCGAAGCGAAAGACCCCGGACAAAATGTAGGGTCTGGAAAGGTGGGCTAGGTTACAGAGCTTCCTGCCACCCAAACCCCCAAGGCTGCCAGCATTTATAGATGCCTCGAGGTGGGTAGTAGCGACGGACCATGACTAGAAGGCAGAGAGGCTCTAGCCAGAAGGTTCTTTCTAAGCCCTCCAGCCAACCTCGCCGACGTTCAGGACCAAGCCTTCCACGACGACTAGGAGCAGGGACTCGATATCCAGCAGAAGATGACACGGGCCGAAGTTATCGAGGCGATAAGGAAGGCGAGCCCCTAGAAGGCACCGGGTGAGGACTTGCTTCCTATAAGCCTCCTAACGGCCTACGGGAAGCCGCTGGCCAAGGTGCTTGCTATCCTAGCTATAAGATGTCTTGAACTAGGCTGGTGTCCGAGCTGGTGCAAGAGAGCGAATACCGTGGTACTCCCGAAGCTAGGAAATGCCCCACGAGTATATCAGACACTAGGAGGCTACAGGCCCATTGCTCTACTACCGACCTTAGGGAAGGTTATAGAGTCAATAGTGGCCGACAAAGTCACTTAAGCCGTGGAAACCAACGGCTTACTTCTAGATGAGCAGATGGGTAACAGGGTACACCGGTCAACAGAGCTAGCAATCCGGCTAGTAATAGCGCAGGCCTAGGAAGCGTAGAGGTAGAAAGCTATATAGCGTTGCTCCTCCCATTGGATACCATAGGGGCCTTCGACACGGTCAACCATATCCGGCTACTAGCTACCCTCCGAGAAATGCGCTTTCCTAAGATAGCTGGTCCTCTGGACGAGGAATTGGCTGACCGACCGGGAGGCCATTCTTCACTTCGATGGTCAGGCAGCTCAACCGACGGCGATACGAGCAGGAGTCCCCTAGGGCTCCCCCCTTTCCCCAGTCCTCTTTATTCTCTATATCGCCTCCCTGTATAAGCAGCTGAAAGAGGAGCACCCCTACTTAGCAGTTGTAGGGTTTACAGATAATACCAATTTCTTAGAGTTTAGCCGGGAGCCAGAGGCTAACGTTCGATAGCTAGAGGCTATATAGGAGACGTGTCTACGGTGGGCAGAGACCTGGGGGATGGCCTTTAGCCCGGAGAAAAGCGAGCTGATTCACTTCAATAAAGGGCGCAAATAATAGGCTAACCAGCTAAACCTCGCGCAGCTAGGAGGAGGTACCAGCCTAGTGCGACCTATAACCTCGGCGAGATCCTAGGAGTCTAGCTAGACTGGAAGCTCAATTGGAAGGCCTACCTAGGAGGGGTAGAACGGAAGTTGAAGACTCAGAGCTATATAATGTACTAATAAAGAATCACAGCGGCAATGTAGTGCCTTAGGCTAGCTAAAGCGAGAGAGGTATACTCCAAGTATATCCGGTCAGCACTAGCTCATAGTACATTGTCCTTTCATATTCTACTAAGAAGAGCGGCGAACCAATGGCGAAGGGGATCACCAAGACCTTAGGTAAAGTTCAAAACAAGAGCCTACGGACAGTAGCAGGAGCCTTTAAGTGTCACAGCGATTGCGCCGTGCCTGCTAGGGCCCACGGGTGGAACCCGGCATGTGGAAAGCACGGGCCCCTGTGGGTTAGATATTCTGCACCTCGCTGCCGCGAGATCTGTTCGTAGCTCCTCGAGCTACGTCTTGACAATCAAGCCTGCCCGTATCTGACGGAATAGAGCTTAGACTGTAGTTTAGCCCGAATACAATTGTCATTGGATTGTCCGCCTGTCCCGCCGTGACATTAAGTATACACCTTTCCGAAATCTCGAAATGGAGATATAGGTGCCGCCATCAGACCTATACTTTAACAAGCGCCTGGCTGACTTTGAGGCCCGGCTTCAAACACATACTCTAGCCGACGGCCAAGGTGGAAAGAAGATAGCAGGGAGCATTATCCACACGGCCTACGACAGCATCCACCGAAGGTTCAACCGGAGTACAGACAACAAGGGCCAACCACGAGCTTTTGGGCCGCAGGAGCCTATGGCAGTAGAACAAGCCGGCAGCGTAATTGCAGTTTGGACAGGGGGAACGGCCAACACAGACAGGGTTATGCAGGAGGCTTGGAAGGAGAGGTAGCTGAACGAACGAGACGGCCGGGCAGCCACGAGGTGTCACAAATGAACCAACGAGAGTCAACAACGGCGGCTTACTTACAGAAGCCAGTGGGGAACGTAGGACGTTCCGAGCCAATCACTTAGGACCAATCGGAACGAGTCCTAGAGGTGCTCCAGAGAGCTCTCAGGAGCATGAGAGAGCACCAGTGCAAGGCCAATCAGAGGACGCTCTAAGAGGCTCTCGAGAGCACCATAGAGCATTGGCTCTAGGTGGCTCTAGAGAGCACGAGAGAGCAACCAAATGCATCTAGTATATAGTCACTCGTTCTGGAGGACTCTGGGAGTTCTCCAGTAAGCAACTCAAGCGCAAGATTGTCAGTACCCTTGGACATTGCTTGTTGTGAACCCTTTGGCTTCACCGAACCTCACCCCGTTGTCAAGTATAACCTTCAGGAGTCCCTTTCAGAAGTTGGGGCTTTGAGATTCGTCACACGAGGCCAGCCGACGACTTCGACTACCAGTAGGAGACCCTGTTCAAAGACAAGACGCTAAGGAGGCACGAGGGTCTGAGCAAGGCGAAAAGTTCACTGCTGGTTCAAATCCGAACTGGGGCTATAAGGCCTAGGGGACTTCCTCTTCAAAAGGGGTGTCCCGGAGGTCTTGACACCCAGCTGCGAATGTGGAGAAGGGCGAGAGACCGTCGAACATCTGGTGATGTGGTGTCTGGCGCCACCATTAGCTCGAAGATAGCAGAGGGCCCAGGTTCAAACGCGTAGGGATTTTTACTCTGTTCTGCAGGGAATGAGTCCTACAGCTGCACGGCTGACGGGGAGGATCCTTGGCTGGCTGATAAATTCGGGGAGGCTGCCGATGTACAATCTGGCTAGAAGGCTGGAGCTGGAGCTCACGGTCTAATATGGCCCCCCCCCCCCCCCCCACCTTCGAAGGTCAGGAGGCCTTCTCCCTTTGTACTACTCGCAAACTCACTCACTGACCGTTTCCGTGATTGCCGATACGGGTTTTTCATCCGACCTGCAAGGGTGCGGTTTTTCTGTATAGTAATAGCTGAAGGTCCGGCATGCCCAAGGGCATAGCGGTATAGGAATAATGATAATATATAACATGGAAGTTGAACTGGGAAAGGACCTCTGACTAACGTATATACCATGGCGATAGCTGCCGGTTTATAGTTGCGAAGTATAGATTCTTATAGTCTATAATCATATTGAATTACTAGCTTGCGCCTTCCAGCTCTAGTCGCTACTCCTCTAGGGCCTTGATGATCGCTAATAGCTCCTTATTGTAGATATCGTAGTTATATTTAGCCCGTGTGCTTATACCAAAGTACGTGACAGGATACTACTCGCTATCTTCCCATTGTTAAACACGGTACCTCCTGACGACTAGTCTAAAGCGTTAGTCTTAACAGCGGTCGATATCCTTATCTACTCGAAGAATATAAGCCTTATATAAAACAGGTGCTTGACGTACCATACAACTAGAAACTTTTAATCAACGAGGACAAGAGCGAATTCTATGTTAGTAAGACGATCTTCCTAGGCTTTGAAATTTTCGATAGGAAAGATATAAAACCTACGAAGATCGAGGCTATTAAGACTTAGCCAAAGTCGAAGAACACAATAGAGGTCTGAGGATTCATTGGATTTACCAACTTCTACCGAGTGTTCATCAAGAAATTAGCAATATTGCACGGCATTTATATGATTTGACGAAGAGGGATATCAAATTCTAGTGGAAGGAGATATATAAGCGATTATTCCAACGGATCTACGATACAATCGCTATAGACCTAGTACTTTTACTACTAGATCCAAGGAAGCCATTTAAGGTTAAGACCGATATATCAGACTATACAATCGGCAGGCAACTTAGCTAGAAAGACAATATAGTACGGAGGTTCCTACCAAAAGTTCTACCTTACCGCCTTTAGTGCCAAGACGTCATGCACTATAAGCCACTAAAAGCCACCCCACTAATTCGTAAGTTTTGACAGATACAATTAGGTTAAAGCTATTCCAAAGCAGGGCCCGGCCCAATAACTACATCTTCCCGGCGTTCTTTTGCCCGGCCTTCCTTGTACTCATTACCACCCTCCAAGCGAATCATTTCCTGGATGTGAAACGGTGCAGCCCATTTCCATTGAGGTTTCTTGCCGCTCCGACCTCGCAAGACCAAGACGCCGCATCTTCGTCTCAAGCTCCCACTCTTCTCTCAAGATAGGTTCAAGCTGATCGTTTAGCTCCTCAATATCTCGGTCAGCCGCTTTCCTCTCTTGTGCCCTTTCAGGATGCCAAACATGACATGGTCCTTTCAATCCGTAGGAGAATCAGCCCCAGAATTGGAACCCGGCGAATCCTTTCCATCGCTCTCGAGTTGCCGACTTGACGGACCTCTCTTGAGGAGTCCTCCAAACCCGATATCCTCCCCGACAATGATTGATGACAACAGATGTCTCGTCAAACCAAATCAGCCGCTTCCAATCCTCGAGGGTCCAGTCCCTATAAAGGAGACAGAATTCAAAGCGGTCTCTCATCAATTCTCGGTCAAGCCTGGCTTGCGTGTTGGCTTTGTCTTCCTCATCCCGGCTGCCCGTAAGGTACGCCAGACTGTCATCGGCGAGATGGTATTGCCAAGCTCGGTTCGCCCGTACCTTCTGAAGAACCTCATCTTTATGTTGCTCTTGTTTGCGAGGACGGCCAGTCCGAGGGCCATCTTAAACATATACGTCAAAGATAACGGGGGGGAAGGCCGTTGGATCAAAGCCACGCTCCAGTGCCCGTTGCGCAATGAGGTCCACGGTACGGGGCTTCAAGCCGGTGAGGGCTTCAATCGTCTTGTTGTCCAGCTCAAAAAAAAAGCCGTAACGTCAGTGCCGAGGCACGTGTAGCAATATCGTAGTGTGGCATGGAGGGTAACTGTCTAGGTAGGTAAAGCCGAATAGGTAAAACAAGGCAGTTAGGAAGAAAGAAAAAAGGAGGACGGAGGGCGGGCGATGCCTGCCCAGTATGTGCGGGGTACTACTCCGTCTTGGCTTGCAGGGCCTGATAAGGTAATTCTGCCGAGCAGAATTTTTGAGGCGGTGTGGTGGAACTTTTGATAGGAACCTCTGTAATTTTTCAAGAAGCTTGCTAGACTATAGCTCAGTTACCCGATTTACGACAAGGAGCTGATAGCCATTATCGAAGCCTTAAAAGAATAGAGACCGTACCATAGGCGCACGATATATCCAGTTCAGGTATATATATATTATAAGAACCTTCCACTATGGAACTAATAGACGATAGACCCATTAATCTATGTTTCTGTCTAAGTTTGACTTTGTCATTTACTATAAAAAGGGCTTAGAGAACGCGCTAGTAGACGCATTATTAGACGGCTATATCACTTTAAAAACAATATTGAAGAATCCCCACCCCTATTTCTAGAGCAAAAGGATATATCACGTTAATATACTTCCTAACCGGTAGATACTACGACGATAAAACTCTTCTCTAACCATAAGAAGATCTCGATATATATCGCTACGCCTCTAAACTATGGAGCAGCCATCATAGCGCTAGTAGCTCTCAACTATATATGGATCGCTATATGGATACCCCTATATACTTTGGAGAAATCTGAGTAGTCTTTAGGGAATAACGGCTAGCGACGGCCTACTATATAGCTACTAAGGAGGAGTAAGAGGAACTCGTTAGGATGATCCACAAGTCGAAACTCAGGGGATATATAGGAATCGTTAAGAGTATTTATTATAAAGGTTAGATAGAACTACCGCTTCCCAGGATCATACGAAAGAAATACGGAATCTAGCAGTTATAGCCTTTATGGCCATAGCAAGGTAGCGTAATATATAACCTATATTGACTCTTGCAACCATTACTAATCGTAGAACGACTATAGACCTTAGGTATAATAGACTTTATTGCTAAGCTACTGTTCATGATAGAAATAGCGATAGGAGTAAAGTATAATAGTATACTTACTATAGTCAACCGACTTACCGAGTAGGTACACTTCATCTAATCTAAGAAAGTATAGTCCATAGAACAACTTATAGATATAGTCCATCGGATATCCCCTTAATCTATATAAGCTGGAGGAATAGAATATAGACCGAGATGTAGGTTCGTCTTAAGTCTTTAGCAGGCGTTGATAATATATACCTAAGAATAAAGAGCAAGTTTTTGATAGCCTACTATCCGCAAATAGATTGAGCGATTTACCTAGGTCGTAGAATAATATCTCTAGTCCTATATTACCTACTTGCAGCACAACTGGGTTATATTGTTACCAGCGGCGCAATTTATATATAATATAACGCTAATGCAGACTACGAAGGTAATACCGGTCTTTGTAAACTACAGCTATAAGATGGATCTATGCTAAGAACCTGAAGGATAGGATTCCTAGGGCGAAGGTCAAGGTAGACCAGACATATACGCTATATATAGTACTTGTAAAAGAACCTAAGTTTTCCAGAGCTAGAATAAAGCAATACTACAATCAATATAGGCTCGAAGAACCTCGCCTAAAGAGAGGACAAGGTTTATCATATTTCATGAAGTCTTGAGTAAAAGAAACGAGTAGGAAGCTAGACTTTAAGACGACTAGACAAATTAAGATCGATAAACGAATTTCGATATCTAACTATCCATTATTTTTAATAGCTACGATAAGGCTAAGAACGAACTTTTTTTATATTTCACATCTAGAGTAACGTGCAGCGTATATATATACAGAGGCTGAGGATAAAGAGGAAGAAGAGGACGTTGAAGCAATTCTAGATATACTATAAAGGGATAACTCAAGTATCTTATTAAATAGCTCAATTTCTGACCTAAAGAAAACTTATAGTAGCCCCCTATAAACCTCCACTACTCTAAGAAGTGAAGGAATTCCACGAAAGGAACCCTGACCGACTAAAGACGACGGACCGCCATCGATAAACCTAAAGTCGGCTAATAGGGAGGCTTCTAATAGAACCTCGGGGTGAATAGAATCTTATAATAGCACGAACAATAGCGATAGCCGAGGAGGAGTAGACGAGGATACAGGAGGATTGCTCAAGGCCTCCGACGCTACTAATACTTCCACCTCCTCGCGTTTAAACTGCTTTGATTCCTTTATACTATCAGCACCCTATATAGTTGCCCGCGCTATCTTCTCAAATTATATTCGTTGTTAAAGGTATAACTGATTAATCCTGGTGTCTAAGGCTATACGCTCTGCTTTAGTAGTAGCCATCTTGTCCTCTATTTCTGCTATATTGGGCTACGATACGTTGAGGTTGCTATACTATTACGCCCTAGACGTTATAAGATCGATAGTTGTAAACGTATTCTTTCTAGGACGAGGAAATATTGGCAGAAGCTTTGTATTTGAACTACGCTCCTTATAGGAAGAGTAGAGTAATTCATTACAGTAGAGTCTGAATAATCGCTTCAAGGAGCATAAGGCCATCTATAACTTTAGTTTTCGATTTTAATGTTAATTTCTTTTTATAACTCAACATTTTTCTAATATCCGCTACAACGGTATAAGATAAAAATGGTGGGGGAGGAGATATACTTAAGGGCAAGGGATATTAGCGCTATTTAAAGGAAGCTAGATTATTATTACGTCGTTCAGGGATGAAAGACATTGAGAGGGAGCGCTGCAAATTAAATCCAAAGTCTTTAGGTTAGCGGAATGGGGTAGCGGCTCTTCATTATCATATTATTAATACCGCGGTAGTCAATGTAAATATAGACTCCGCCCCCCGGCTTCTACGCTAGTAAGATAGGTAATCACACTAACGATTTCAAGGCCCGAACGAAACCCTTAGTTTGACGGGCACCACCCAAGGTCTGGTCAGCTCGCACATACAAGATCAATATTGCTACAACGAGAGCAAGAGCTAGATGACAGGAATGGGCGTGCCACCAGACCTTAAGTACTGGAGCAGAGGCCTATGCGTAAGCATGACCATAGACGTATGATCAGACCCCATGACGTATGCATAACCGCAAGCATATGACATAACCTTGAGAACAGGAACGGGGAATCCCGTGACACTTCCCCCCGTCAAAATAAAGCCCAATTCTTCCCAGAGGCAGAACATAAAACTTCCAACTAGAACCTTCAAACCGAAATATATGACCCTCAACCAGCGCTTTCATACCCCATAAATCAAGAGCAAGACATAAAACCTAATCGTCATACATATTCCCTTCATAATCAGGCGTAACAGTTACAAAAGGCCGTGAAACGTGAATCAAAATCATAATCAGAACATTCAGAAACAGAACCGGAAACCGGAGCGTTTGCAGCAGGGGCGCAGGGGCAGTCTCGTACCCAGTGGTCCGGACTACGACATCGCACGCAAACACCAGCTTCCCGTCGGGCTTGTCGTTGAGCAGGCGTCGCACCAAGTGCAAACCGGACAGACCCTCCTGTTCGGATGTTCGATATCCGGACTGTTTCGCCGTCCCGCGTGTCCATCGTAGAAAGATCCATCGGGTCACCGATCCGTGGAGTCGGGAGCTTTCCAGGATTGCCGAGGGAGCTACCTTGTCCGGAGCCACTGTGTCCGCTGAGCTTGTGAAGATCTCACAAATTTCTCATACTTGGTGGGGTGTTCCAGTTGGACATCAAGTTTTGCCTTAAGCTTGTCGTTAACACCATTTCGCAGAATAGCGATTTTGGAATCGTCTGGCCATGAATTGGCGTTTGCTCCGTGAAGGAGCCTTTCAGACTTGGAAAGATAGATCGGAATAGCGTCGTTTCTTTGTCGAATTCCTTGTAGTCGAGCTGCAGCCGTATCTCTTTTGGTTAGGTTGTCGTAGACGCGCTCGAGTTGATCCAGGATGGTTTGACAGTCCCATAATCCGTTATTCTCTGCGAGGAGAAGCTGTGGCAGGACCATGGCTTGGATTTTCAAATCCAGGTTTCCGTAGAGGTAGAAGAATTGTGCCTCATGAGTACCGATGGCGTGGGCGTCGATCCGGAGCTTGGCCTTGATCAGCGGAAGCCAAGTATCCTATCTCGTTGCTCCGCTGAGCTTTCAGAATCTGGAAGACGGGCTTTGGGACGTCCCACGAGTTGTTGTTGAAGAACGGCGACCTGGTTTTCCAAGGCTGCCACCCTTTCTGTAAGATGCTGGTTGGTACCGGGGTCCATAACGTATGCATGAACAAGAATTCGTATCCGTATGCAAGACAGGTCCAAGAACAAGAGCAAGAGCAAAAGCAAAACCCTTCTTGCAGAAGAGGGTAGCAATATACTGTGACGGGATACCGGTTCTCAAATTTCGACGGCCACAAAATCCACTACTCAACCGAATTCGAGCTCTAATGCTAGCAGAACAACATTATTACGTTCTATATATCCCTAGGTGTCTGCCTTCCGTAAATATATTCCTGAGTGTCGAATGTTAGCCTCTAGGTCCCGGCTAAATACTAAGAGGATCATCCGTAAACCTTATAATCGCTAAGTGGAGGTGCTCCATTTATAGCCATTTATATAGGGAGGGAGATGATATAGAGAATAAATATAACTAGGGAAACTGAAGGCCCCGGCCAACTGTCAACAACTAGAAGAGACCTGAAGACCTGTCTATATTGGGCCGAGTCTAGAGGGACGATCTTTGCTGGGAAAAGGAGCGAGCTGATCCACTTCAACAAAGTCCGAAGGTAATGGCCAACCCAGTCAACCGAGCCCACCTATCGAGGCAAGGGTTTGATGCTATATAGCCTACACCTTCTAGCCGGTTCCTTGGAGTCTGGCTAGATTGGAGGCTAGATTGGAGGCTAGATTGGACGGCCCACCGGGAAGATGTCGAATGAAAGCTGAAAACACAAGACTTCGCACTATCCAGAATAGCTGCTAAGACCTGGGGCCTAGCCCTGGCCAAGGCTGGGGAGGTCTATACTAAGTGCATCCGCAGTGCCCTAGCCTACGGAGCTTCA